CCGAAACCCTAAACCCTCCTAAACCCGAAACCCTGAAGCCCTATGCCCTAAGCCAAAAAGGCCTGCAGCGAAGTCTGGAGTTCCAGACATCGCTCCCCCAGGGCATCCTGCAGACAGAGGGCTTCCTTTAAGGGCACTCGAGGGGGAGGGGTTCCTTTAAAGGTGACTTTCAGGGTAGTACAGGGCTTCCTGTAAGGGTACTCTAGGGGTCTAGGGTTCCTGTGAAGGTGTCTTTCAGGCTAGCTTAGGTATTCCTTCAAGTTCCTGTAAGGCTGCTTGAGGGTATAAAGGGCTTCCTTAAAGTTGTTAGGTTCTTTCAAGGGTACTGGATGGACTCCTTTCTATTCGTGCTCCGGGGTTCCAGGGTTGTGGGGGTTTCAGATGTTACGGCTTTAGGGCTTCAGGGCTCGAGGGTTTTAGATTTTATGGCTTCATAGGTTGAAGGGTTGCGGGCCGTAGGTTTTTCTTGCAATAGGCTTACCTTAACCCCAAAGAACCGACCTTTTTAAGGACGTATATAAAGAAATCATAATAAGGAGCCCTAAAAAGGTAGGTTCTTCAGGGTCCAGGTAATGACTTAATGCTGCAGGGTAGTAATGTCTTAGACTTGAGGCTTGGTTGAGGGCTTAAGGAGAGGGAAGTTAGGGCTTTCGGGCACTCGGGCTTCAAGGTTTTAGGGCTCAAACATTAGGGTTTCAAGTTACTTAAGAGGCTGGGGGGACTTAGTAAGTAGGGTCTAGGGGGAATGGTCTTCGGTGCGGATTTCGGGGTAATTACTTAGAGTAGAAACGCTCGCGCAATGCAGGCACGGTTCCCTGCGAGGCTGCTCCAACAACGGTTTAGGGTTTAGGGTCATCGGGAGCTTTGTTCGGGGTTGTTGGCTGGTGTAAACAGATGTGTAGGGGCCCGGCAGCGTGCGCATATTGCTGGGCTTAATGTTTTTGATCGTATGCACTACGGTTCTCCTTAACCATTGCAGTAGAGGGGATGGGCTTGAAGGGCATCCGCATTCACAACCACGGCGGTCGAAGATTGTTTGCACCAAGCAGAAAGCAGCACAAGTCTAGCCGAAAACAGAACATAATATGGGGTGCCTTAGTAATTAGAATAGGGCTTTGAGGTATATTATTCTACTATACCTAGACTGTGTGGAACACCGAATAGTATCGGTAACTATTTCGGCCCCTATAATGTTGCACACCTTTGCTCAAAGCATCCCACGAAGCCGAGGCAAATCACAGCAAAAAAACGGGGGGACCTGATGCTTCCTTCACCGGGGCCCAACACCGTTCAGGGTTTAGGGAGCTCCCTCTCTGGGTTTAAGCTTTAGAACACTCAACACATATAAAACCTACCAGAAAATACTTTTCTGAAGCAACCCCAGGAAGAAGTCAAAATTCGGCGGAATCCGAAGATCCGAAAGCCCAGGTCCAGTGCCTCATGCAGCTTCACGGAATTCTCGAGGCGCGTCTCCGCCTTGACACACTTCCATGTCTAGTATCCTAAAAGGGGAACTGGAGGTCATCCTTTTGGATTATGCTGGGATTATGCCCCAGAAGGGCTAAAGGTGACTTACTTTACTGCTAAGAAAATCCCACTAAGAAAATCCCTGAAGCCTTAAGTCCCGTAGTCCCGTGTTGGGGGTGCGGCAAGGGGCTCATGCGCTTCGGGACTTTAGACTACCTTTTGCCGCAGTTGCAGCTGGAAGGTTTGATAAAGGATCCTCGGCCACTTCTGGGGGTATACCTGCAGTACATTGCGCATGATCTAGCCACCACCGCACGAAAAAACAACTCCCTCTACCCTAAACCCAAACATCCTAAGAATGTGACTGAAAAGCCTCAAAACCCGCAACCCTGTAGGAGGAAGAAGCCATGACCGAGATGATCCCCTATGCTACTTAATCTAACTTCATGGTCCTAGAAAAGCTTGTAAGGTGCTCTGGAAGGACGACGATGGAGCTGGCATTGGGCCGCGGGCGATTCGATTCTAAGCGTTATCCGACATCACAAGTCTCGGATGTTCATCTGACCTCTAACTACTCGCAAACCCCGACAACTACGCAGGCTCTCAACTCGAGAAGCCTAACACTAAAAGCCTTTTCTCCCATAGGCTTGCTGGAGCATAAACTCTGAACTCTGAACCATAACCTTGAGAACAAACACAGATATGGAAAACATAACCAGGACCTCTGGAAATCTGCTCTGGGGCGACAGGTACATCTTGAACCCCAGACCTAAATCCTATATAAACCCCACCCCGCACCTCTACACCTTGAAACCCCCTGCCTTCTGTAGCTGCAGCAGTAGATCCGACTGGGTCTCTTCTATTCTCTCGAGCTGGCCCTGCAAGGATCGCACCTGCACGACTATGCAGGGCCTTGAAGCTTGGAGTAGGGTTCTGTTGAGGACTTTTTCTATAAGGGGTCCGCTGGGTCTTAGAGTGTTTGAGACAGGACCTGGATAATTGGAGTAGAGCTTTGCCATCTAGGATAGCAGAACTCTATAGGGACCATCAGGGACCAGGCCTACTCATATCATTCAGACTTCTGTCGTAGAAGCGGCTGCGTGAATCAGGGCGAAATTTTTTGAGGATCTCACCGACTTCTAGGGATTCAGGGGTTAATTGAAATTATTAAGGGTTCAGGTCCGGGGAAAGTTTGGAGGAGTTTCTGTTTTAATGCTTTCAAGTTACAGGGGGCTTGAGGGTTAAGGGTTTAGGGTGAACACTCTCACAACTCGGACAGGCCAGGCGAGGATCCACAGGCGCAATAGTCGGAGTGATACTAAGACGACTCGATGCTAAGGGTTTAGGGTTTCAGGAAGGCTGTCGTCGTTTGGGTTTAACTTAAGGTTTCGGGTCTAGGGTCTAGGGCTTTGCAGGTTGCATATTTTGGGAGTGGGTTCGGGAAGGTAGCATGGTGGTGCGATTGTGCCAAGAGCAGTGCTTGAAGCTTTCTGGCCTCCTGCCGTGCCCTAGCTGTACTCTAGTCCAGAGGCTCCATATGTACCATTATGGAAGAATATATATATATATATATATATTTACGTAAGCCCCAGGGTCCATCCTTATCATGGTTTTGGGGACCTAGTTCCAGAATAGTAGTATCTGGCACGAATATCCGAAAGCCTAGAACTTAAGAAGCCTCCTGCGAGTAATGCCCTGAGGGTTCAGCTTTACCTCGGGACCTTCCCTTTTGAAACCTTTAAACCGTGAATCTAGTTTGTTGTTTGAAATATGGATGCTAGATCTCTAAGACTCTAAGAAGAAGAACGAACAGCAAGTACCGCTAGTGGTCCTCGCCACCAAGCTGAGAACCATAAGAGAAGTCAGAAGAGCTGCTCTTGAGTCTCCCCTCCTCAACCGCCAACGCCGAACCAAACAACAACAAAAAACCTACCAAACCTAAACCAAAATCCATCCCTCTTCCCCCTTGAGGATCTGGTCGCAAGGGTCTTCCGCCTCGTCGCCGAATGCGCCCTGAGCAGCTTGGTCTATCCTCCGCCGGCCCGTCTCTGCCTGAAACATGGGGATTTCAAGGTTAATGGCTTTTCTGCCAGAACCGCGGCTTGTGGGGGGGTTGTTAGAGGTTGAGCTGCTGTGGGGATTAGGGGTGTGTATCGCAATCCTTCTTCCCTGCCTGCGAAGATCTGCGAGCTGGTGCAGTAGAACTTGAAACCCAAGTTCCTTCACCACACTTCCCAGAAGTCTTAAAGGTCTTAAACTACAATTACCACCCAAAAATCAGACATAAATTGCTGAAGACAATGCCCCTGTCAGGCTTCAGGAGTTGATGCTAAAGGGCCGGTACAAATCGGCGAATATCGGGGCCCCGAAGCCCTTTGAACTCATGATTACTTAAGGGGCGGGGGACTCTGAAGTGATAGAATTAGCTAGGAAGTCTCCGCAGCTTTAAGGTGATGGAACTATCCCTCAACCCTAAACCCTAAAGCATAAACCCTAAACCCCAAAGCCCAAAACCCCAAACCCTAAACCCCATATGGAAACCTCTGCCCGCCTGGAGCGACGTCAGCCGCCCATCAACTATCGACTCCATGGCTTCGCCAAGGCTTTCCTGCGGCGAGCTCTTCGTTGGTCTTCGGGATTTCGGCTCTGGGATTTCCCTATAGTCGCCATTGTAGTTCCTCTTTTGGGTTTAACCAAATACATACTGAGGATTTTATAAGGTATCCCCCAAAGGAACTACAATGGAGACTATAGGTCGGATGTCAGAAGAAACAGATTCGCATCCAAGCGTGGTCCTGCACTCTCGCGAGCTCTTTGTCCTGCTCTGCTCGCCTGGTGACCGTATCACTAAGAGCACAACGTTTTATGGAGCAGCTGGTGCGCAATACTTGTCAATGTTGGTTTGTCTGGCCGTTGGTTTCGCGCTTGTACCTTAAACTACCAACACCTACCTTCTTTACTTTCTTGTAGGGTCCCTAGAAATTCAGTAGTAGGGTTCATTATGAGAACTTTCAAGAACAGGTTATAGTGGTTTAAGGTAGTGGTTGACTTGACCGTAATTACGCCACGCTTTCCTGCTTTGCTCTTGCTGCCGTTGTTGTCGCTGTTGCTGGCGATGGTGGTCGTGGCGGTGTGGCGGCGGTGGCGGTGGTGGTTATGGTGGTGGTGGCGGCGCTGTTGCTGATGTCGTGGCAGTTCCGCTGGTTGCAGCATTCGCTCTGCTTGAACGTCGCCCTCACCAGATCTATGCTGAAACCTTGGCCATGCGAATAGCTTAGATGGAGTCAAGCCCATGATTGTGCTTGAACTGTCATTGCTGCTCCTATGGCCTATGTAGTGCTACTAGGAGTCTCAACGCCAATGGCTCCGCTTGATGTTTTTGCTATTGGTGCAGTATTGCCGTCAGTGCCATTCTTCATGTTCATATTCCTGCTATTCTTGCTGCTGTTTGATTGATGGAGAGCATTCACAGCTATATGATCAGTGAAGCACCTTGTGAGGTTGCGCATGGAAAAGCCAAAAAACAAAACTAAAGTTCTACACGTGAAGCTCGCCGCAGCGCAGCAGAAGTCACGGGGAGCAAGTTTCAAAGCCTACCCGAAGCAGAATCCGATGCCCAAAGCGTTGCCACCGCACGCCGAAGTCGCAACGTCTGCAGCGCTTCTTCTCCTTGCTGAGGCTTAAGAACCATCATGTGTCTGACATGGCAGACGGAAAATGCTTTCTGCCGCAGGCACAACGACGCGAAATGAAGCACCAGATACATACAGAGGCAGCTTGCAAAACTTCTCATAAATACGCGAAGCTAAGGCAACAAGACAAGCAGGCCACTACAGTTGCCATTACTCCCACTGGAAGTAGCGGTGTTCTGCAAAATGTTCGCCATGTTCATGGCATTTGCTTTTTGCTGATGCTGTGACCACTCTAGTCTCTCCGTCTTCATGATGATCATGGTTGACTACGTGCAGAATTACAAATATGAGATCTACATGAATACCCCATCTGCTCACTTCTCATCATCACCATCGTCGGCAGCAGCACCAACACCACTATCACCACTATATCGTCACAAAGCAGACAGACAAGCTGAGCGCAAAACCACAAGTGTTCAAAACCCGAGCCAAGCAACTATAAGCCTCTAAGCGCTGCTGGATCAGCTCCTGCAGGAGGGATCATGAGTGGAACTTCGGGCATAGAAGCGTCAGGCAGCCCCTGAACCTCTATGTTGGGGCCTTGTAGGGTGCGTGGTTTTATGCTGTGTAAGAACATTGCGATGTATAGAAGTATACCATGTCTGTAGAATGTTCCGACCTCAAATCAGAATACTAAAGGGCTTGAGGCTAAGGGGGTTCGGTTCAGGATCCCTCAAACCTCAACACCTAGAAGACGACAGCAATTTCAGGGGTGTGCGTTCACGGATTAGCGGCTTAGGGTTGACGGATCGGTCCGCTACTACGTACATGAAGTTCCCTCATAAGCTCATGGCTACGTAGACGATGCGACCCTACACCAAAGCACCGCAATCCCAAGCAATGGTTGACACAGGGCAACCTACGGGATGAAGTCAGGACCCCAGCGCCGTGAACCTTAACCATGATGGGGTCCATATACAGTATATAAATAACATGGTTTCCGTGTTACGGTAACTTGAACATATTTCCCAACAATTGCCCAGTAACCCTGTTACACGTATCTGAAACCTTGGACAACGAAGTGCAAGTCTGGAACCCTCATCAACTCCCTTCATATATAGGGTTTAGGGTTTAGGGGTTCAGGGTTGAGGGCTTTAGGGTTTAGGTATATATAACTTAGGGCTGAGTTTAAGCGTTAGGTTTAGACTTACAAACAAGCAAACTGCGCAAGGCGGGTGGAGCCTGTGCATCACCACCCCTAAATGTGAGCTTCACAATAGAAAAGCAAGCGACCCCGCTAATCTTAATCCTGACAAGAAGATACCTCATGCAAGCACCCAGAAATTGCGAGCACCAATTTTAATTTAAGACAATTGTTACTCAACCTCTGTACAGCCCTTGCAAAAAAAAGTCCGGAAACTATCCTAAACTCCAAGACCTTAAACCCTAAAGCCGTAGACCCTAAACTCTACAAAGCCCTAAACCCNNCCCCCCCCCCCCCCAACAAAACCCTACTGCCGAAACAGCAAACCCTTGTGGTGCGCTCCTCGATGGAGGCTCTGTCAACCAAGCTTCTTGGGTTGTCCGTGCGCCGTCTGCGGAAGGCTGGGTTCTTGTTAAGTTAAGGATTTCGGGTTTGAGGTTTGTTGACACTTGGTACACTTCTCGATTT